CCCCCCCCCCCCCCCCCCCCCCCCCCCCCCCCCCCCCCCCCCCCCCCCGAGGGGGGGGGGGAAGAGGGGGGGCGCCGGCGGGCGGAGGGATACGGGCGGTGAGGTGAGGCTCGGTGGGTGCGCTGCGACCCGGAGGGTCACGTGGGCGCTCGCGGCGGCACCTCCCCCGCGGGCGGAAGTGGCCGTGAGGGGACAGGGCGGCCACGGAGCCCCCTCAGAGCCCCCCGAGCCCCCTCAGCACCCCCGAGCCATCTCGGAGCACCCCCGAGCACACTCGGCTCGCCCCGAAACCCTTCCGAGCTCCCCACCCCCCCGAGCTGGCCTTCCGCGCCCCGCCGCCCCCCAGCCAGGCCCACCCCGCCGAGCAGAGGGGAAGAGCGGTTTCGGTGCGGCCCCGGTGAGGGGTGGGGGGTTGAGCCCGGCGGGTTGAGGGGGCTGAGTGTCCTCCGCTGTGGCCCCGCCGGGTTTGGCGAGGAGCGGGGCGGCCGCGGTGAGCGAGCGCCGATCGCCCCCTGCAGCCACCGGGCACGGAGGGAGGGAGGGAGGGAGGGAGGGGGTTTGGGGCCACCTGCTGCCCTCGGAGTCACACGATCGTTGAGGTGGGAAAAGCCCTCCCAGCCCATGGAGTCCCCCCTGTGCCCGATGCCCACCTTGTCCCCCAGCCCAGAGCACTGAGTGCCACGGCCAGGCCTTCCTGGGACACCTCCAGGGATGGGGACTCCAAACCTCCCCGGGCAGCCCCTGCCAGTCAATACCTGACAACCTTTTCCAGCAAGAAATTCTTCCTCGTGTCCTCGGGACAATCCAAGCATGGGCACGGGGACGTGACAGTCCCCCCGGGTCGTGCCGGCTGGCTCAGCCCTCCTGGCTGTGCTGTTTCCATGGAGTTTTCTGTCCCACTCCATCCCCCTTCCCACATGGATGACAATTATCCTGGCAGGGGGAAAGCACTGTCTATAAATCTCTAAATCAGCCTTTAAACCCCTTTTAACCCCAGCCTACCAGGTCCTTCACAGTCTAAGCTGAGAACTCTTGCAAGTCTTTGGGAATTACCCATGTTAATGTTCTGCAGGAAAACCACCATCAGGAATCCTGGTGCAGCCTGAGCTTCTGGATATCAACACTGGCTGCAGTCTGGGACCAGTTTCCATCTTTCTCACTGTTTGGTAGGGCTTTTTTTGGGGATCTTTTGTGTGATTTTTTTCCTCTGCTGTGCAGAGAGGTGAGATATTGGGTTCCTGAGGTAATAAAAACTAAAATTTGAAGGCAGTTTGGCATGTAGGACCTCTGCAAAGCATCAGGAGTGGGATCTGTTGGAGATCAGCATCTGCCCCAGCTGCTGAGGGATCAGGAGGAAGCTCGGCACATGATATGTTTGGGAAAATGGGATTACCGGGACAATCCATGTGTAAATTTGCCTCCCTCAAAAACAGTCTTCATGTCATTCCATTGCTGGGAAGTAGCATGAGGGATATCCCATGGAAGCCAAGGATAACACAGCTTGGAAGGAAATCTTTAAAGGGTGGTTGGTTGTTTTATAAAAAAATCTGCAAAGAAAAAAAAAACCAAGAGGAAAATTGAACCACTTTTTGTACAACCAGAAAAGAGACACCATGGAAAGGAGTGTCCTGAGGGGACGAGGAGAATCCATGTACCCCTTTTTCCATAAAAAGCACATGATGTAAACCAGGTATCTCCCAAAAAAACAGATCTGTAAGTCCACCTCGAATGTTTCTTGGGCTGGCAGGGAAAGGCATCTCACTGAAGACACTTTGTATCTAAATAATGAATGTCAATAATAACCAAAAATTAATAAATAAATAGTTACTTCAGTGACTTGCTCCATCTTTAAACACTTTTAAGAGGTGCTGGGGTCTGGCAGCAGATGCTGGAGCAGGAAAAGGAACAGGGAGAAAGGGGAAAAAAGCTTAGCTTTTCCTTTAAGGGCTCAAAATAAACTGGAACATAAGGTGGAGGGATTTCCTGGGCTGCTGCAGCCTCCAGCCTTTGCAAATGCTGTATTATATAATTCCTTTCATAAACGTATCAAGTTGCATCTTAAGATCTTTTGCCACCATTATTCCCACTGGGAAGCCGTTCCCAGAACCTTCTGCTGGTTTTCAGGCTAAATATATTTGGGACTGGTCAGTCTCCACTTATTCCTGTGCCAACACTGGCCTTAAATAGCTCCTGCTGTGTGGCACTTTGTGCTCCCACGGGCACACACATCCCCTTGGCCATGGGCAGCTCTGCCCAGCTCCCCTCCAGTTCCAGGCTCCCCCTTCCAGTGGCTGCATCCCGGGGTCTCCACCTTACCTTCTCCCAGGAGTTTTCCTACTACAGTCTCATGGAGTCCAACCAACTCAGCCACACGTTTCATTGGAAAACCCAAAATCTTTTTTTTTTTTTTTTCCCCCCAAGGCTCCAACCCGAAAGTTGATAAAATTGTGGCTGCCCATCCCTGGAAGTGTTCCAGGACAGGTTGGAGCAACCTGGGCTAATGGAAGGTGTCCCTATGGAATGGGATGGGCTTTGAGGCCCCTTCCAATGCCTGAGCAGCCTTTCCAGGAAGAAATTCCTCCTGCTGTCCAACCTGACCCTGCCCTGGCACAGCTCGAGGCCATTTCCTCTTGTCCTGCCCCTTGTTCCCTGGAAAACACGGACACAAGAGCAGGAGGGTTGAAGGGGATTTGCCAAAACAGAGATCCTGTTATTTTAACCTTTTCCTGGACGTTTTTCTGTTACTATGTACATATACAGTAAAGTTATTCATATATATATGTTACATATATAACATATATATATATGAAATATATATATACTGTATATATAAAACATATGTTATCTCTATATATAGAATATATAGTAATACATACAAATTACTCATCTACAATATATAATATATATAAAATCTATAACTTTCTATATAATCTATATAACTTTCTANTGAAGGGGATTTGCCAAAACAGAGATCCTGTTATTTTAACCTTTTCCTGGACGTTTTTCTGTTACTATGTACATATACAGTAAAGTTATTCATATTATACATATATATGTATAGTATGTATGTGTATGTAATATATAATAATATATAATATATACTATATAGTATATGGTAATATAGAATATATAGTAATACATACAAATTACTCATCTACAATATATAATATATATAAAATCTATAACTTTCTATATAATCTATATAACTTTCTATATAATCTATATGTCTAAATATAAATAGCTTTCTATATAATATATAAAAATATATATTTACATACTATTATATAATACAAAATATACACTATATAATTTATAGTAATATATAATATATGGTAATATATACAAATTACTTATCTATGATTTCTTATGTATATAAAATAGATACATTTCTATATAATATATAAAAATATATCTTTCTATATAATATAAAAATACATATTTATTTTCTTATGTATATGTGTGTATATATTTTATATATTTAAGATATATAAAATATATAATTTCTATATAATATATATGAATAGATATAGATAACTTTCCATATAATATATAAAAATATATTTATTTAGGCTTATGTATATATATGTATATATAAAATATATATGATATATAAAAGATATACTATATATACACTTATATATACATAATCATCATCAATCATATATACACTTATATATACACCTGTATATGTGTATATCTCTATACTGAGCATGTGTTACGGATATGTTATGTCATATAGACGCTATATTTTATACGCGTTTCACACATTAGCAGAGAGCCTGAAGTCACTGCTATCATCACAGCTGCAATTGGGACCCTCCGCCCGCGGTGTGTGCCGCTGAAGTAGCGGTGAATCCTTTCCTTCCGCTGACGCTCGTTCCGGTCGATCCGTCCCATCCCGAACCATTTCCAGGCTGGAGCTCCCGATTATCCGGGGGGCGGAACCTTCGCGCGGGTCGGCGGCGGGCGGAACGTTCGTGCGGGGCGCGGGCGCCGGCCGGCCGGAGGAAGCGCGGGACGCGCCGCGGCCGCTGCCGGGCCCTCGGTGCCGCCGGCGGCTCCTTCTGCTCCTGCCGCTCCTTCCTCCTCCTCCTTCTTCTCCTCCTCCTCCTCCTCCGGGCCCGCCCCGTGTCCCGCAGCGCGAGTGACGCGCCGGGCCCACGGTGAGTGCCGGCCGGGGGAGCGGCCGCGGCCGCGCCGCAGCTGCGGGGCGGCGGGAAGGTCACGGGCGGCCCGGGCCGGTCCGGCCCTTGCGGGGTCACCGTGGGGGGATGACGGGCCCGGGAGGGGATCCCCGGCGTGGGAGGGCATCGCCGGGCCCGGCACAGGCGGGGGGTTCCCGGCAGTGCCTCAGCATTCCCTGGGAGCGGAACAGCCGCCGTGCTTTTGGTTTCCCTTTGGCGCCGGCATGGGCGGAGCGGAGCGAACCGTCCTCCCCGCTGAGGAGATAAACGCTCAAGTCCTGCAGGATTTACCTTCCGTTTGTTATCAAGGCTCTGCACAGCGAGGCTGTGCTCCGGTTTCTCTCCTGTTACAGCTTTTCCTCACAGTTGGTGCTCAGGGCACGGGTTGCATAAAGAGGAGGTTCCTTCCGCGGCTTTTTGGGAAGGATTTTTCCTTGTTCAGTGACCCAGAGCCCTTTTATTTTAATGAATCAGGCTGAGGAGGGAACACAGAGCCCTCCAGCTCGGGATGACTTGCTTAAATCCCAAAGCAGGCAAATTTAATTTGGTTTCCAGGCAGGTGGGCACAGTGACAGGCTGGATTTTTAACTGCCTGAACAGGGAAGGCAGTGTTAAAAAACCCCAAACCCAGTTATTCCAGTGATCCTGCTGGGATACAGGAGCCAGGGGTTGATGTCCACCGAGTGGTGCTTCTCCTGAGCCCAGTCCCAGTGGAATTCCAGGTTCCAGAGTCAGTGGTGTGGCAGAGCCTTGGGGTCAGCATAACACAGGGAGGGGGATCGAGGGATATGTTGTCTGTAGGAGCTCCAGCTTTGCCCTGGGCAGGGGGAATCCAGGAATATCTTGGCTGTGGGTGCTCCAGCTTTGCCCTGGCTGCCAAAGTTCCCTTTGGAGAGTGGCCAGGGAATGTCAGGAGCTGCCAGAGGAATTGCCACTGGCTTTTCCTTGCAGCAGGAAAACGGGGCAGTGCACGAGGAGTGATTAGGGATTGTCAAGAGGAACCCCCCCACCAGCTGAGGAGGAAGTGGACCCTGTTTTTCCCAGCCATTTTCCAAGGTTTTAGGAAAAGTCCTTCTCTGTGCAGCACGTCCCCTACACTGAAGGCGCTGCGCTGTCTGGGCTTGGCTCCTACAGCAGTCAGGCTTTTCCCTGGATAGCTGTGTGCCACATCCAGCATTTTCAGGTTTCCACAGATATTAATAACTCCACATATATCCTGCCAGCTGCAGCCTCCAGCTCTTAACCTCGTTTTAATCAAATCCAAGTCATCCATCGCTCCGGAATGTGGCACTTGGGTGAAGGGAAAAGACCTCTCTGGTTAAATAATGGAGTTCTCTGTCTCCAGGATTTAGCATTCTTGGGTCAAGAACAGTCCCAAAATGATGGTCTTAGTGGGAATGTGTACACAGGATCCCAGGATGGTTTGGGTTGCAAGGGAAATTAAGGATCATCTCATTCCACCCCCTGCCATGGGCAGGGACACCTTCCACTGTCCCAGGTTGCTCCACGCCCCATCCATCCTGGCTTTGGACACTTTCAGGGATCCAGGGGCAGCCACAGCTTCTCTGGGCAACCTGTGCCAGGGCCTCCCCACCCTCCCAGGGAACAATTCCTTCCCAATATCCCATCTATTCCTCCTCTCTTCAGTTTGAAGCCATTTCCCCTTGTCCTGTCCCTGCAGGCCCTTCTCCAAAGGCCCTGGCAAACAGCTTTTATAACTCAGTGTTTAAACACAAGGCAGACGTTTTCCCAGCTTTGATTTTTCCTTCCTTCTGCCCCTCCCTGTGGTTTCCCTCCCCTCCAGATCTGGGAGCAGGATGGTCCACGCCGAGGCCTTCTCGCGGCCCCTGAGCCGGAACGAGGTGGTGGGGCTGATCTTCCGCCTGACCATCTTCGGGGCCGTCACCTATTTCACCATCAAGTGGATGGTTGATGCCATTGATCCCACCAGGAAGCAGAAAGTAGAAGCTCAGAAGCAGGTAGCGCTCCGTTCTTCAGCATTTCTGTGGAATATCGGGATGTTCTGGTGGAAAACCAGCCTGGCCGTGACGACGACAAAACGCATGAAAGCACGTGGGATAATCCAAAAGAAAACTGGGATTTCGTTTTTAGTAAATCTCAGGATTTAGGCTGCTGGTCTTCAAAAAATTCCAAAATTACAACTTCTGCCTTGAAGTGGTGGAAAAACTGCAAAACTGCTGAACTGGAGGCTGATGTTGGTTCTGGTTTTCAGCAAGTCCATGGTCCTGGTGCTGCTTCTCCTCCTGACAGCTTTGCTGAGCAGCAGTTGCTTTAAATCACACCCTCATCAGTCTCTTGGTTGCTTTTTAAAACCTTGAGCAGAGAGAACTTAATTCCCTGCTGCTTTTAAGGCGACTTAATGGCAGAGACCTCTGGGAGCAGTCAAATTGCCTTCCTGGAAAGGGGAGGAAAGAAAGTGAAAAGCCTTATGTTAAGTTAAAACAATTCATGCCCTGGGAAAACCTTTATGGGCAGTTCAGAACCAAAAGGGAGATGTTTCCTTTGGAATTGTGGCAGCTGTTTGATTTGCTTTCTGGCTGACATAAATTTCACAGGTTCAAAGAGCAGTTTTTGAGCAACCTCAGCCTGTTTTGGCGGGTTTTCCTTTTCTGACGAACTTTTGAGTTAAAAATCAGCTTTTCCCAATCTGTGCCAGTGCCAGCTGTTATATAAGAAGCTGCAATATCCCAAAAGCACGTTGGACTTAGTGCCAGTTTGAGCAGAAAGAGGAACTAAGTTGTGCAAGGGTGTTGACACAGCTCATGACTTTTCCTTTTAAACTGGGGAAAACCCACTGACTGCATATTAAAAAATTGACTGGCTTCTGGGAATTAGCCTTTTTTACCTTAAAAATACATTAATCTCTCCTTGATGCAGCACTGTGGAGGTTTGGGGGAGCCAAACTCTGTGTTTTAATGTTTATTGGGGTTGTTTTTTGGATCATAATGGCTGAGTCGTGGATGTGGACTGGGAGGGCTGGGGTGACACTGCTTTGGAGGGAACTGAGGCATCTGACTTGGTTTCACTCAGGTGACAACAAATCTTTAGGAGGCATCAGAACTCTACTTAAAACAAGATTTAACCTCTTTTAGGGTGTGACTTAGGGACACATAAAAGATTTTTCTTTCCAAACGCCACACAGAAGATTTTAGAAAGCTAATTTTTGAGGGGAACACTCCAGTTCTGTCTCTGATTCTCCTGGTGTTTGATTTCCCCCCAGGCTGAAAAACTAATGAAGCAAATTGGAGTGAAAAATGTCAAGCTGACAGAATATGAAATGAGCATTGCTGCACATCTCGTGGACCCCCTTAGCATGCATGTAAGTTTTCCCTGCTCCTTCTGCTCTTCAGACATGGAATATCTTGGCTTTGACTCTGGATTTCATTAGCTGTCACATATACACATCTGTGGAAACGCACAGGAAACGTTCCTGTGGTTTAAAACTACAACTGCGTTGTTGAGAGCAGAGGTTTTTAATCCCTTGTCTCTTATTTTTGAGGCCGTGCACTACTTTGAAGCTTTTGTATTTTTCCTTGGAGAATTTAGGATATTTTCCCCTTGTCAGGAACTATGCTGATCATCACTAATATTGTTTTTCCCTCCTAGGTCACCTGGAGTGATATTGCAGGCTTGGATGATGTCATTACAGATCTGAAAGACACTGTCATTTTGCCCATCAAGAAGAAATATTTGTTTGAGAATTCCAGGCTCTTACAGCCCCCAAAAGGTAGGAGAGGAATGTTATGGATCTGTATGCTGGTATTTAAAAACAAAAGGTGCAGTTCCTCAAAAAGGAAAGGGGAAGTGTGTTGCCAGGCCAAAGGGCAACAATTAGGACTGATGCCAGGGAAAACCCTCGGGTTTTCCCTCTTCTCCTGCTTTAGTGAAGAAGTTTCGTGTTAATAATGGTCATTGATGATACACTTTGGTGCACTAATCATAGAACCGTGGAATGGTTTGGGTTGGAAGGACCTTAAAGCTCATCTCATTCCACCCCCTGCCACGGGCAGGGACACCTCCCACCAGCCCAGGTTGCTCCAAGCCCCGTCCAACCTGGCCTTGGACACTTCCAGGGATCCAGGGGCAGCCACAGCTTCTCTGGGCAACCTGTGCCAGGGCCTCCCCACCCTCACAGGGAAGAATTCCTTCCCAAATCCCATCTAACCCTGCCCTCTGGCAGTGGGAAGCCATTCCCCCTTGTCCCCCTGCTCCAGCCCCATGTAATCCATATATCCTGCATTTTTCACTGCCTAAATTGTCTTGTTTTTCATCTTGCACCCCATCTTGTCCTTTGGCAGTTGAGTTATAACTTTGCTCTGCAGCTTTGACACTTGGTTAATGTTTCTGTGTTGTTGTAGAAACAGAAGTCATAACATGAGCCCTCAATGGGAGCCAAGCTTGAGGCATCTCTCTGCTCTAATCCTGGAAATTCCCATCATCCAACAAGACAGACATCCCAGTTTTACTCCAGAGATCCCTTGATTTTCTCTGGAGTTGGGGCAGTGAGGAAACTGGCAGGTGGAGAATCAACTTTCCAGTTAAACTGGAAAGCTGGGCCCTGCTGGAATCCTTACAGCCACATTTGTGGGATGTTACTGCAGAGCAAAGCAGAGTTTAAACCTAAAACACTGGACAAACCACCGAAGTTTATCTTTCCTGCTCTGATCCCTGGAATATTGTCTTCTGAACCTATTAATTCCTGCCTGGATCTGTGACCCTCTCGCTTCTGTGCCCCAAGAGATGGAAAATGCAGCACTTTCGTGGCTGGTTTGGTTTTTCCAGGCTAACTTTCTGTTTCAAGTCACAGATTGAAGCTGTCTGGAAAATTACTTGAATGCCATGATCTAATAAGCTGAAGGGAAAAAATGATATTTTTATTTATCTTTTTTAAAGCAGACTTTCCATCTAGGGCAGCTCCCCAGTTTTATTAGTGGCTTGTGCTGTGTGTTAATACCAAGTCACTGCTGCAGAGTGATGATGTTTGTGGTCTTCAGTCATGTAAACAGGGGAAAAAACCCTTAATAATTCTCTGTGTTTCAGGCTTTTTTGGGGCTGAATTTTGTCTCTTTAAATTGTAATTCTGTAATTTCTTTACAGCTGTGGTAGAAAAACACCCCTGTGAGTCCTTTCACTGTCACAGCTTTAAAAATAATACGAGACGTCATGTTTAATTGGGGGTAATTTGTTTAAAATGTCAGTGGGCTCAGTTTTTTGGTGGTTTTTCTTTTTTTTCCTTTTCTCACCCCTCTCTGCTAAGTTTTATTAGCAGGGCAGAAACTAGCTATGAACAGGGCCTGTCAGATGCTGACAGGAAATAAATGGGGGCTTAGTTTTTTTTTTCTTATGGAACCTTTATAGGCACAGAAATAGAATCATAGGATGGAATCACGGAATGGTTTGGGCTGGAAGGGACCTTAAAGATTGTCTCATTCCAACCCCCTGCCATGGGCAGGGACAATAAGCCAGCCCTTTTCCAAATGTCTCCCTCCAGTTTCCCTATACCTGTCTTTAGATATTCTTAGCTGTAATTTAATAAGGATTATCTTAAATACCTCTGAATTTGCTTTGATGGAACAGCGTTTCCTTATCTTGCTTTCTTCCCTTTTAAGGCCTGGATGAAATCCAAGCCTGGACAGGCTCAGGTCTGTCATTAACACTGTGAATTTTGCAGGAGTCCTTCTCTATGGCCCCCCTGGTTGTGGCAAAACCCTGATTGCCAAAGCTACAGCCAAGGAAGCAGGTTGCAGGTTTATCAACCTCCAGCCTTCCACGCTGACAGACAAGTGGTATGGAGAGTCCCAAAAACTGGCTGCTGCTGTCTTCTCCCTGGCTATAAAGCTCCAACCATCCATCATCTTCATTGATGAAATAGGTAAAAATCTCTCTTTTTATGGAAGTACCTGTAGGAGAGTGACATGAAACTGTGGATTCAATGATATATTGATCACTGTCATCTTTTCCTTATAAAGAGGGAAGGTTCAGTAGTAGAAATAGAATTGAAGAAAGGTTCAGTAATAAAGTACTGATGGCAAATCAGGAAAAATAATGTATTTCTTCCTCATGGTAGTGGATGAATTTACATTTAGAACAAGTTGCTGCTTATTTTTGGTTCACAAGGAAACCCATCACTGAGCACACTTCAGTGCTTCTGCCATGAGGGCTCATAATGGAAAATAAACTGTGGGTTTAGGAGAGCTCTGGAACAGCAGTTTAATAAGGCTGAAGAAGTAGGAGGGGAGGCTGCTTTCCATGAATTCAGGAAGGTGAAAGTTTGGAGCACAAGATTTGGGGTGAGCTTGTGTGATGGGTCCACACTTGTGTAATGCCATGGAAAAGATGGGGGGGTTCCACTTTGCTGCTCTTCATCCCGAGCAATGCTTTTTGTTTGGTGACAGTGGTTATTAAAAATGCATTTCTAAGGTAAGAGAACAGCCCAGGAGGAATCCAGCTGGGTTGGGAGTGAACTGCTTTTCTCCCTAAACACAGATTCCTTCCTACGGAACCGGTCGAGCACTGACCACGAAGCCACAGCCATGATGAAAGCTCAGTTCATGAGCCTCTGGGATGGGCTGGACACTGACTATAACTGCCAGGTAAGGACAGAGGATGCTGGGAAAAGGGATGGGATTCCTTCCTCTGGGCTGTTGTGCATGGAGCCCCTTTGGAAGGACGGCAGGTTGCACGGAGCAGGAATTATCAAATAGTTTCATTACCTGACAGTGATGAGTAGCACTTCATGGCAACGAGGTGAGATATTAACAGATTGTTTAGCTTCCTGAGGAGACCGTGTTTGGACTTATTTGGGTTTTATTTGAGGTGTTACTTCCAGAAGTGTCAGCAATGCAAATGTATAGTCTGAGCTGCCAACACTGGGAATTTTTAAACTGTTTCGAAAAACATTGTCTGGAGAATATTTTCTTCACATGAAGGGAATCTTTGATTTCAGGAAAAGCTATTGAAAGCTCTGAGCATTCATCCCAGTATTCATCCCAGGTGCAGGTTGCTTGGTTTGTCATGGAATCATGGGATGGTTTGAGTTGAAAGGGTTTTAAAGATCGTCCCTTTCCTAACCCCTGCCATGGGCAGGGACACCTTCCACTGTCCCAGGTTGCTCCAAGCCCTGTCCAACCTTGCCTGGGACACTTCCAGGGATAGGGAACCTCCAGGGATTAGACAAGCACTAGACTCTGGAGTTAATCTGCAAGGGTAGAGAAGTGAATATTACCAAAAGCCAGATTGTGTTAAGTGGAGCCATGGTTCCATCCCCTTATTCCCATGTGCTTCCGTCCCCCTCCATGATCTCAACTGAAGTGTTGTGTTTTAGGGAGGAAAACTAATACAAAAGTTGCTGGTGCTGTAAAAACAAACCAACAGAAAACATTCATGAAGTAAATATTTCTATAAAAAACCTGGGCTAGTGGAAGGTGTCCCTGCCCATGGCAGGGGAGGTGGAATGACAGGAGCTTTAAGGTCCCTTCCAACCCAAACCAGTCTGGGATTCTGGGATCCTAAAGTACTTGAATGCAGCAAAAAGCCTGCGTGGTGTTCTGAACTGTCACCTGGAACAATGCTTTGAAAACCTTTAAAAAGGATGTTTATTCTCCCAGTTTAAAATTTTCAGCCTTACACAAATCTGTATTTGTGTAAATGGCCGATGCACCAACATCTGTTGGTTTGTAAAATCTGCTTTTCCTCCTCTCTCAAGCTTGTGCTAAAGATGTTTTTAAGTTGATTTCCCCAAAAATGAGTAGAAGACAGTGTAAATATACATATATATATATATATACACTGAGGAGCTTAAAGCAGGATGTTTGCTTACCATTAATAAAATGGCATGAACACTTCACTACAAACTAATATCATCTTTCAATCACAGTGTATTGTTTTTTTTCCCAGTACACTGACAAGTTCTTGGAGCAAGTCAAATTGTTCATTCCCTGCAGTAAGACAATTTAGGGGCTCTCCAGTTCAGCAGAATTTGGCTTTTGCTGCAGTACCAAAAATCCTAAAGGCTCGGAGGAAATTGTCAATCAGTGTTGTGATGGATGTTATTTGTTCCCATGTTGGTTGCACCTGGAAACCACGCTCAGTTTTGGGCTAAACCTGCTGAGGATGGAGTCAGGAGTCTGGCAGGAACTCGGGGGCAGAGCCCTGATGAAAAGTATGCCTTTGGGCTAAAAAGCCAAAGGAAATAATGCCCAGGAAAGCGTGGATGGGAGCAGCGAGGCGGCGACCCCGGTGCCTCTAGGTGGCAGGGTGAGTCTGTGCCACCAGCCCTGCTGGAGCTGCCCTGCAGCACCAAGCCTGGACAAAAGGCCAGGAGCACGGCAGGAAAACCTCTGGAGTGGAGATTAATTGCCCTGACATTTTTCCCCTTCCCCACTGGGTGTTTACCATGTACATAACTCGGAGTAACAAATGGGAAAACAAGGCCGGTGTGAATGGGAAGTAAATTTGTTCTGGAATTAATAACTGGAGTGCTCCAAGGAGGTAAACAGCGCCCTTGTGTTGGACTTGGCTTGGACAGTGTAACCCACTGCTGGCAAATGGACCTGTGCATATAGAGATTCATTTAATGCTTTTTTTAATGCTTAAAAAAACAGACACCCTTCTAGTGCATGTGGAAGCTGCCAGGTGCTGATTGCCTTTCTTGTCTAGTGGAAGGTGCTCCTGGCCCTGAGACAAGATGATCTTTAAGGTCCCTTCCAACCCAAACCGTCCTGGGATTCTTTTTTCAACACAAAAACACCACATTTTTTGAATACCTTACCAAAACGTCTCCTTTCAAATTCCTCCTCCTCCTCCCAGAGCACCAGGAACTAAGAGTGACATCACCGAGAGTTATAAGCAGAAGTTTTAAGTTCCCTCTTAGAGCTTGAACTTTCAAACTGGGCTCATAAAGTTCAGCCCTATGTCAGAATCTCCCCCCAGGTGGTATTTGTGGCAGCAGTTCTCTCCTCAGCTGCCTGGTGCTGAAATCACTGCCAGGAAACCTTATGTAACTTCTTTAGATGTCGATGTTCTTGATAAAGTGGGGAAGAGTCACTTGTTTGGTTTTGAAACTCCCAATCCATCCATGCTTTCCAAAGCTGCTCTCAGGCTGACTGGTGTTGTGTGCTGGCATTCCCAGGTGATCGTGATGGGAGCCACCAACCGCCCCCAGGACCTGGACTCGGCCATCATGAGGAGAATGCCCACCCGCTTCCACATCAACCAGCCTGTGAGTCCTGCCAGAGCCACAGCAAGGGGCTCAGCACCCAGCAAATGCACATCTCTGGGGTTTTTTCCCCCAAGGAATACTGCATTCCTTTAGTCTGGGTGTTGTTTCTCAGAAGTGCGCCTGTAACTCGGCTTTGTAAGGTGACGTTTCTCAGGGAGGTTTTGATGCCCTGGGTCTTTTATGTGAAACACCACTTCCCACCCCTCCTCTTCCTCCCAGAGAATGGAGTGGTTTAGATGCTGCACACTGGGAAACAGCTTGTTTTTAACTTGGAAACTGCTACAGAAAGCACAAAAGTGGCTGCACACACTTGCCTGCGGGTGAGGATGGCACCCAGGTCAGCTGGGGGGAGAAGCAGGTCCATGCTGAGTGCCATTTATGCCTTCTGGATACACAGTTTGCAAGGAGGGAAGAAGGAATGAACTCTGCCTGTGAAAGCCTGTGTTCTGCTCAGGCCTTTCCACAGCTGGGCACTCTGGAAAAACAGGTTTATTCTGCTTATGGTGGGGTTGGAACGAGATGGTTCTAACCCAATCCATTCCATGATTCGATGATTTATGACAAAGAGGCAGTAATTAAGCTCTTTATCAATTAGCCAGCTGTCACAAGGTTACCCTTACTCCCAGTGTTGCTATTGCCACCCTTTTCCAGGTATTTTAGTCTCCTTTGAACACTTGGCTTTGTCACCAGCCGTTTCTGTGTTCGTGTTATTGGGAGTTCAGTCCCTGTCAGAATTCCCTTCTGGCTACAGAAATAATTATTCATTTTTTGCTGAAACTTAAAGAGACAAAACTCAATCAGTAAAGCTCTTACTGATTGTGCAAGAGAGTACCTGTGTTCCCAGGCCCACGTTGTTTGAACTGGCTTTCACTCTGTGTGGGAGGATCCTCTTGGAAACAAGGCATTTATAACCCAGTGACTGCTGAGCTTCCATACCTGTCCTGTAGCCCTTCCTCATCTCCAGGTGTTCCTTGAATTAGCAAGGGGCAAGGATGTGGATTTTAGTACTTCCTCTTGTCTTTCTAGCAAAACCCTCGTTAGAAGGAGGAATTATGTGAAGGTAGCAGAGCCTTGGGATATTCCAGGGATTGGCTCCCTCTCCCAGGATGAGAGTTACCAAGGGAGGTGTCATTTAGGGAACAGATTTTCCTTACCCCACTACAGCCCTATCGTGAACTTACTGCTTGGCTCTTGTGCTCGGGATCAGGCAGGATTGATCCCAACTGGGATAACTGATGTGCTGTGGATTGGGAATGGCCACAGGTAGGTGGGAAAGCCTTGCAGATTTTAGAGCTGAGTTTGAGATGAAAATGCCCCATATCACTCATTAAAAATTATCTGCAAGGCAGAGGGAAATGGAAGAAGTACTTTTTGGGACAGAGTAGCAACTGTTCAGCTGCCAGAGTATCTATAGGGGATTGTTTTCCCTTTTTAAGGATGTAAGTGAAGTTTGGGAGACACAAACTCCAAGTCTTTGCTGCCTGTGTCTTACCTTGCTGGTAGGGATCTGCTCAGGGCTCAGCTGTTCTGTCAGTGACCTCATTAGTGTGGGATTTCTATTGCTTCGAACACCTGCAGAACTCCATTTGCTCTCAGACAGGTTTCCACAGCTCATGTGGCTGAACTGGGACCAAAAGCCCCACCATGGAGCTCCATGTGTTTGGCTTTGTCCCCTGGTAACTTTGATCTCTTCTGTTGCAGGCTCTGAAGCAAAGAGAAGCCATACTGAAGCTCATCCTGAAAAATGAAAATGTAAGTAGAGCCCTGTTAATGTGTCCTTTGCTGGTGACATCAGAGGCCTTGCAGAAAACATGTTTTATAATTGCCTGCCTTGGAGGGAGGGGGAGTTTATCTACCAAGGTATTTGTGCTGATAACTTGGGAATCTTTTGTGGATTTAGGTGTGGCCTCACATTAAAGCACTAGAGTTGCCTCCCCTGTAAGCAGGAGCCTCAGCAGAACAGCAGCCTTGGATTTGGGGGTGAATCACCATCTCTGAGCAGAGTTACTTCATTTCTCTGTCTCCATTTACTAATTCTGTAACTAGATGATATATTTATCTCCCTAAGGATGCTGAATCCCATTTGAATGAGTGAAGGACATTTCAAGACCTCTTGAAGCAGGGAGATACTGACTCTTAACTTTTTCTTGGCTCAAGTCAAGAAAGGAGTAATGACTTTTTTACAGTGCTGCTTTTGCTCCATAATTCATATTTCCTTTAGAGGAAAACTACTCCAGATGTTGTTACCATTACTGTGTGGTGTTTGTGTCCCATCTGCCCTCTGAGGGGTCGGTGTGAGCACACCTGGAAGTGTCTGTGGGTAGGATATGGGATCCATGTTATCAGTGGTTCCTCCCAGATTTAGTCAGCAGCACTATTTGTCATGAATATGCTTCTGCAAAGGTAAAGCAAATACTGATGGACTGGAAAAATGTGCTGGAAGGGGCCGTAAAAAGATGGAATAAATGTGGGGTCTTGACTGGGAATAGTTCAGTGTGGTCCAGTGCATGGAGTTAGACGCGTTATTTTGCCTCTAAATCCCCATTTTGGGGTCGTATAAAGTAGGAGCAGGTCCAGACAACAGAGTTGCTGAGAAACTTCTGTGGGCACCTGGGAAAACGGGGCATTGTTCCTGTGCTCCAGTTTTTGCCACCCAGATCCAGGCAGGAGTTTGATTAGTGGTGGGATAGACCAGTGGGATGGTTGGCTTTTGGTTGGCTCTTGGTGGGTTTTCTTCATCAAGTCCAGAGTTTGATGAGCTGAAGCCTCAGTTCCTTCACTGAAATGAACTCCTTGGAGGGTTCTGAGCGTAAGCTGCGAGTTGATAATTCATCTCACAAAACATCGGGTGAAGAAGGTGATCTCGGGGCAGGGAAAAGTACTTGGGGTTGACTTCCCTCGGTGAGGGAAGTCAACACTTGTGGAGTTTCCATGCTGTGCCCTTGTGGTCTGTGGCAGGTGGACAGGCACGTGGACCTCCTGCAGATCGCCAAGGAGACGGACGGGTTCTCGGGCAGCGACCTGAAGGAGATGTGCCGGGACGCGGCGCTGCTCTGCGTGCGGGAGTACGTCAACAATGCCTGCGAGGAGGACACGTACGTGCCTCACCCTCCCGGCCCCTGCCCAGCCTTGCCTTTGTGTGCTCTCATTGGAATCAGGAATTTACAGGGGGTTCGACCCCCTCGCAGTGCGGGAGGGTCTCGTTTGCCTTTCCAAAACCCGCCCAACTTTCAAAACCAAAGTTACCATTATTGATTTTGCCTCTGGAAATAAGAGTGTTTGTGCTAAGGCGCCAGGCTGGAGATGGCATGAGCCAACAAGTCGTGGTGCTGCACTATCTAGTACTAGGGTTCAGTGCTGGTGACACGGTGCTGCAACGTTCCTCTGGGATCTCCCACACATACAGGGAATCCCTGCGTGCACAGGGGCTGTGCTGGAGCGTGTGCAGGGAAGGGAACGGAGCTGGGAAGGGGCTGGAGCAGCAGGAGTGGCTGGGGGGGCTCAGCCTGGAGAAAAGGAGGCTCAGGGGGGACCTTCTGGCTCTGCAAGTCCCAGGAAGGAGGTTGGAGCTGGCGAGG